CTTATAGGGAAAGAACTAGGGACAATGGAAGAAGTTTCTGTTTTTCTCACCTGCAAGACAATTTCTTCTCTGTGGGACAAACAAATGGAAAATCTCAAAAGCATAAACCTTAGCATAGTAGGCATGCGTAGGGAATGCTAAGAAGTTTTTCTTTCTCCATGATGTTTTGTAGAGATGCACATCAGGGGATTGGTAAGGCAATCATATTGAATGCTACCTCAAACTCACTGGAACTAGTTTTAAGAAACCGAAAGATTTACTGTATTTCTCGAGAGTTCTTGACCCTCAAAAATAAAGGGAAAAAAAAAAGGATTCTTGAGTGACCACAAAAGCTAAAATGGTGTACAGAAACTTCAGAAAATATCAATCTATGGCCAATAATAACAGTCTGAGCAAGCCAGATTCCTCTGCTTTTATGAGGCAGTACATTCAAGGACCATTGTAGAAGATGCTTTGGAGGCTTTTTTATCTGAAAATAAAGACATAAAAATCCAAGCATGCTGACAAGTGGGATAATAATGTTACAAAGCAAGTCTTCTACAAGTCTTCTCTCCTTTTTTGCTTTTTTCAATTTGGAACTTCTGATGCAGACATAAACATCTTCCTCCTACACTGGTGTGCTTTCAGTATCCAAACAAAGAAATAAAACAAAAACAAAAACATCGATTACTTTTGTAGAGGGAAACCAAGAAAAAACAGGTCTGTTTGTTATTGCGGTATGGCCGTGCTTTTCAAAAAAATTATTGTTTTGCTTTAAATTATTTTTTTTGGTATTTTTAAATTATTTTAATATACTGATATTAATTTTTTCTTTTTTAAATAAAAAATTTATTTTGATGCTTTTTCATATGAAAAACACTTTGAAAAATAATCGCTACCACAATATCAAACACTACTGAAAAGAGGATGGAGGACGGGGGGCATGCATTCTAGTCATAGTTGCAAGCATGCGAGCAAGTATCTATTCCCATAACCTCTGTCGGCATATTCTATGGTAAGAGTCCGGTCAGGATTTATAACCTTCAAAAATCTAACAGCTTGCTCTTTCCTGTTTACCCCCCTACACACACACACACACGCTCTTTATGCGTCAATTATGTTGCCATTGTTAGGGCAGTGAAGATGAATATCCAAGAAAAATGAGATACTGGCCATTTTCATGGTAGAAAGTTTGACTTCTTGTATGCTATCATTTTAAGAGTGAAAATTACAGGAAAAGAATGTGATTTTTTGGACTACTGTGGTCAGAATCATGCTTCCCATCAAGATTTAATTATGATTGTGAGATTCGTGCAAGCAATTTTGATGTTTCTCCAGTTTTTAGTTGAACTCTTGATTCATGATTGCAAGGTCATTACAGAAGGAAAAGAAACATCCAAATGAAACATTCTAGGAAAAGTGGTTGGGATGGAACAAGCACCAAACTTATAGGTGTCGCTAACCTTTTTGTGATGAAAAAGGAAATGGCTTTTACTGGCTAATAGGAATG